GAGCAACTGAACCGCGCTGTACAACACCTGTTGAGGCATTACATCAAACCCAACCAGGTGGACTGGGATGAGAAGCTTGCTCTCATCGCCAGTCTGTATAACAATGCGGTACACAGCGCCACTGGGGTGAGCCCGAACAGTCTGCTACTGACTTTCAAGCCTAGACTACCATTGGATTTTCTTCTTCCTGAGAATCAGTCAACTGCTGCACCTGGTACATTAGAGTTTGCTTACCGCTATGAACAGAAGATGCAGCAGGCGGTAGAACAGATGCAGAAGGCACAGGCCGCGATGATAGAGTCCGAAAACAAACACTGCCGGCCTTCTACATTTCAGGTTGGGGATAGAGTCTGGGTTAAGTCTTCAGAACTGGGACAGGAGTACGGGATATCCTGCAAACTCATGCCTCAGTACTTCGGACCTTGGGAAGTCTTGGACATTGTCGGGACAGATCCTGATGGTCCATCATACGTTATCCGGATTCCTGGTCGTCTCCGTACTTACCCTGTCTTTCACGCCTCCAAGCTGGCACCTTTCAAAGAGACTGACCAGTTTCCATCTCATCGCTCAATGCTGCCCCCAACCATGGACGGTGAGGTGGACATTGATGATATTGTGGATCACAGAGAGCTGCCAGTATCCAAACCAGCAGGCAGGGGACGTCCTCCAAAACCGAAGCTGCAGTACCGCGTTCGGTTCCGACATCACACTGATCCAAAGGAGGACCGCTGGTTCACCAGAGAAGAGCTCATGCAGACCGCTCCTCAAGTTGTAACTCAATATGAGAGATCTCTGCAGAAGGGAAAGCGCCCTATGATCGAAGATTGAGCTTCTCAGAGGACTGTTGAAGCTAAGGAGGAGGGAATGCGAGGCCACTGCCTCTAAGAGCCCCATAAGGCCCCCATTTTGCAGCCCGTCGGCCTCCCTAAGTGAAGGCAGGATCGACGAGGCCCTCAGGGCCCTTTTCTGGCCACCACGCAACTCAGGGAAATTCAGGCAGTTGCGCAGCGCCAGTTGGTTGAGTGAACCCAGGCCCTGGGCCGCCTGTGTGAATGTACGTGAAGCAGGCCCTGGGCTGGATACGGGTACAGGGCCAAACACAGGCCGAAAGCAGTTGGGCACATGCAACCACTTCAGGCCCAAGGCCTGCTCTCCTCGTGACTGGGCCTCAGGCTACCGGGGCCTACTGGAAGCTTCCTGGACTGGACGCCGGCAGGCCACATGGATATAGGGAAGGGCCTGCCTCCTGTTTCGGCATTCGGGTGCTGGCTGCATGCTGCGCAAGCGCTGCTGCTGCGCTATTTGCTGGCTGGCGCCTACGCTCTCACCGGCGAGCAGGGAAGGAGCACGCAGCCATAGCCGAGCTGCACTGCTGTATGCTGGGTGAAGCGCAGGGTGGTCCTTGGGTGCTAGTGGCATCTGTGAGTTGGGGAACGAGGTTGTGAGGGTAGCGSGAGACATACCTGGTGCTGAAGCGTGCGACAGTGGTCGCCATATGCYYGTACTTCGGGAACRCTGTTGATGTCATCTTTCGGCTTCGTAGTATAGGCTAGATAGGATCTGCCACATGTAGTCTGGGCGCCGAGCGCCAATAGGATATCAACTCTGGTTCTTCGTTGATGATGATGGGACTACTTCAGCATTGTCAATTATGAACTCTTGGTGTGTTCTTATTTGGTGTATCTCGTGACGCAATTCTGCTGTTGGTTCGAGGTCAAGACTATCTGGACTCATATGTATGATGCTGTTTGATTGCTGGAGTTCGCTATTACTCATCTTCCTTGCACTTTTTTTATATATAAAAAAGCAATCCTTAAGAAAACTCAAAAGAAGAAGAAAAATCTGATGCTGGGCTAATACAACTGTTTGCGGAAACTGGTTAGAATTCTAGCCAATTCTTCACTTCGCTATCTTTTTTCTTTTTTTTTCCTTCTTTTTTCTTAACAACTTTGTTTTTTTCCCCCTACATGAATGGAAAACACATTCTTCTCTGTTATATAACTTGCATCATGTTGCATGTATATGATCTTCGCTTGGTTGTTCATGACGAAACTGGCATGATCGCTTATGCCCTCCCACTTGCAGCCTTCCCCCCTGTCCACCCCCTTTACCCCCTGATTGCATATCAACCGTATATGGTGCTCGTCCCTTGCTGAGAATCTTATGATCAATGTCAGCAGGGCTACCAGAAAAAAGGCAATCGACATGGGGCTCATCGTATCTATAGTGTTTAAGCTTAAAGCCTTACACTGCCAGTGGGCAGCTTGAGAAAACAAATGGCTCACCCCATTTCGGAGGCTTGGGGCTAAAGGACCACAATGCATGGTGGCGCCAGCAAAAAAAGCAAGAAAGTGCGCCGCTGGTGGTTCGGTAAAGCTTGGCGCACAGTGCAAGTCCACCGCACTCGGGTGTACTGGTGGCTTAAACCCACCTGCATCTGACATCCCAGACCTCTTTCCAATCCTTTGACGGCCGGTCCTTTGTTAATGGGATGCGTTTTGTTGATTGGATCATGTTTGAAATGAGTGAGGTCTGATAACTATCTTTGACCGTCAAAGGCAGGTTGGTGCTTATGCTGTTTCTTGCCCAACCCCTTTTTTCCGTACGTGCAAAGTGTGCCCCTTAGGGAAGACAGGGGTGTGGGCACTTGACGCTTAGCCACACAAAGGTTAAGCCCTGTCCTCCCTAAGGGGGACACTTTGCAAGGCCTTGCACTCGCTTTAACCCCAAATAGATCTGGATGGATTTTTTTGGGATGATGCCTGGTCATTGCTCACACAACACGCACAACAAAGACACACACACACACACACACACACACACACACACACACACACACACACACACACAGACACACAGATGTGTTTAAGCCCTTTGAAGAAGTAGAGAGGGAATGGTCTCACAAAGGCCTACTAGCTTCCTGGGTGACAATGGCAGAAGGTCCTGTAGGAGAGTTGATCGTGGTAGAATGCCATTGTAGATGGATGTAAAGGAGGTGCACCAGCAGACATTGGCTCTACACGCAACCACGGTAGTCGTGCTTGTGTGGACAGATTGTGCTTAGGGAATCGGTTGCAGCATCTAAGTAGAGCGGTAGTATCTACCTTAGCTAACAAGCAGTGGATCTTGGTAAAAAAGGACCATGCCAAGGACGTAGTGTGTACCTTCTCCTATGCAGGAGGGCAAATGAAATGTAGCGTTTCATTTTTGGTAAGCGACGAGATTCCTGTCGATAGGATTCTAGGAATATACTACCTCGCGGTTGCCGAGCTCCAGTTTGTTTGAGGGGAGGAGAGTCCTTAGAATGCCCCTTCGACTACAACGCCCGGGCGCTAAATTCGAATAGAAAGGCCCAGGCGTTATATTCGAATAGAACGCCCGGGCGTTATCTTTGAATGTTCTATGAGCAGAGTGCCTTGTAGAGGGAGTATACATGGGTTGTAAAGGAGGGGAAGGGGGGGTATACATGGTTTTTGAAGGGGGCTGAAAGGGTTTTTGACTTCCATGGGGTATACTATACTTTGGTTTGATTTTTTTTGTTTTCTTTCTTTATTTCTGAATCTATAAGGAATTCTGAAGGGACCCTCAGCCAAAAGTTGGTTGCATTGCAGTTCTAGACAACATATTTGTTTTACGGATTTTTTTTTTTTTTTTTGAATTTTAGGGCCCCACCGAAGTTGCCACCAATTTACTGAATATACTGCCCGGGGCCCGGGCGTTATATTCGTATACAACCCCTGGGCGTTATATTCGGGTACAATGCCCGGGCGTTATTTTCGGGTGAAGACGGTAGGATGAGAAATTAGTAAATTAACTCCCATTGCTACTCTCTACAAGAACGCAGCACACAGTACTACAGGCTCTCGTCGCCTAACCAGCTCCACTTAGGTTGGAAGCCTAGGACCCCTCTAGACTCTCCTACCCGATACTACTAGACCGACGGCAGCACCAGGAAGCATAGACTTTGGTGGGATAGAGTGTGCGATAAAATGCTGCAGCAGACTGTGGAGCAGATACAGAATCTCGGAATGCCCCATGATAGCATCTGAGAACGAATGTAGAAGAGAGTCAGTCTAAGTTCGAGGTTGGGGAAAGGGTATGGGTGAAGTCGTCTGCGTGTACTTAGGAAGTGGACATATCTCGCAAGATGATGCCTCAGTATTTTGGGCCCTGTGGGCCCTGGCATGTCTTAGACATTGTGGGGTCTGACCACCCTCATGGCCCATCACATGTCATCCGCATACCGCCTCACCTAGGTTCTTCCCCCGAATACAACGTACGGTCATTATAGCTGTATTTGAGGCATCTTTCAGTCTAGACTCTAGATACAGCTATAATGACCGTACGGTTTACGCTGTATTTGAGGGACGAAGGTAGGTTACCGTTCTTATCCATTCTTTCACGCCTCCAAACTCCTTTTTTGTTTTTTTCAGAAACAGATGAGTTTCCGTCGCAGAGATCCATGCTGCTGCCCCCAACCATGGATGGATACGTGGAGATTGATCAGATCGTGGAGCACAGAATCATGCCTGTACGTAAGCCTGTTGGCAGAGGAAGACCGCCAAAACCACAGATTCAGATCTAGGTCGCTTTCAAGCATCATACGGATCCAAAAGAAGATTGGTGGCTCACCAGAGAGGAGCTGATGAAGACAGCAGTACCTCAAGTTGCATTTACCTATGAGAGAATGCTGAAGGGGAAACAATAGGTGGTGGATTAAGGATTTATCAGTAGACTATCGAATCAGAGGGAGAGGGAGTCAGAAGCATAAGGGCCCTCGGCCTGGTTGGAAAAAGGCCTGCACCCTTCCTATGTGAAGGCGGGCTGCAGAACTTCAACGAGGCCCAATTTGAGGCTGATGCGAGCAGGAAAGGGGCCCCGAGGTTGGTTGCTGCATGCAGCATCTCCAACCAACCGGTAGCTCGGTCGTTTGCAGATTCTGGGCTCAGCGAAGCTGCTGAGGCCCAGCGCACTTACAGTTGAGCCTCAGGCACATTCTGCCGGGGCGCTGGGCCCAGCTACTGGGACAGAGGGCCACCCAACCAGGGCCTGTCTCGCCCAGCCAGACAGAACGAAAGAAAGCGAGGACCACTAACCTGACACATTCTGGCTGGCTGGTCGGCGGCAGGGTTGCTGGAGCGCTCACTTGCTGGGCGCGAGCCGGGCCACGAGGGAAGAAGGGCGCTGGCGGGGCGCGAGGAAGAATCTGCATGGGCGCAGCAGGAGGGCGCAATGGCCATAGCCGGGCTGCTGGCACCCATAGCTGGAGGAGGAAGGCGGAGGTCCTTGGGAGGAGGGACTGTCATGGAAATCGAGGAGAAGTGGTGATGTGCTGAAAGCGCTTACCTTGTGATGGAGGAGCGGGCGGTTACACTCGGAGTGTGTTTCATCCTGTCATCGCGCTGATGTTCTTCATTGAAGAGCTGTTGTAGATAGGAGTCAAGGTTGATAGGAGCTGTCTGATTGTAGTCTGGGCTCCGAGCGCCATATTAGGAAGAGTGAGGTTGTTGACATTGATGTTGGAGGCGAGAAGAGGGATTTCATCATCGTTTTGACTTCGATGCTCTGCTCTTTACTTAGTTAGTGTTATCTCGTGGTGCGATCTGCTTGCAGTTCGGGGCTTTCGGGCTCATTAAAGTTAAATCTAGATTTCAATGGAATGCTGCCGTTTGGTATATTGTCATTCACATTGCGCATTTCCGTGCATAATTTTTTTGTAATAGGATAAAAAAATCTATGGTTGATTGATTCTGAAAGTTCATCTTATTCGAACGATGATTGATTGTGTTCCCTCAATAATTTGTTTGTTTGGTTGTTTGTTTGTTTGTTTGTTTGTTTTTGTTGCTGTGACTGTGGAAGTTTGCGGAAGATATCAATGCGAAGCCTGTCTGGGTATTCAACAATGGTAATATAATATTATCCTTTAAAATTGAAATTCCTTTGCTTTTTTTTGCGCTTTTTTAAAAGTTTTTGTTTTTCACTGTTTGCGCTTTTTGGGTAAATATGATACATCCTTACTTCTTTCGTTTCCTTTGTTTCCTTTTTGGGTCATATGATTCTAATATCCTTTTTTTTGGGGGGTTGGGGGGGGGGTAACATCATACACATAGGATAATATCAGATATCCTTTCTTCTTTGCCTTTTATTTCTTTTCTTTTCGGGTAGCTAATAATAGTATTATACTATTATCCATTACTAGTATGATTACTAATACCCTCAAAATAAATCCGTTGATTCCATTCCTCATTACTTGTTTTTTCTTTTCCCCCTTGTTTTCTTTTGGTTTAAATTATACTCGAATATCACAGACCCTTTCTTCTTATTTCCTTCCATCTGTTGATGATTTGATAAATTGATATCTTCCTTTTCTTTGTCTTTTTCTTCGTTTTTTTTAAGGTTTTGCTGCACCTCTAGGTTTGCAGGCTGTAGCAGACTACTGACCTGTCAATGTAAGATAAATTAGGGAGTACATTACTAATAATACCGCCATATCCTTTCTTCCTTCCTTTTGTTTTCGAAAAAAAAAAAAAAAAAAAAAAACATTTTTTTTTGAAGGTTTTTGCAGCAAGTTTTGTTGCACCATATTAACAGAGCCTTAAACTGGCAAATGTTAGGACTTCCAAATTAGAACTCAGAGTCCGCTTAGATCAACTTGAGTAGACCGTGAGTGTCATATTGTGTTATAAGATAGATTACCTTAAAATAATAAATAAAATAATAAATAAAATAATAAATAAAGTAATAAATAAAATAATAAATAAAGTAATAAATAAAATAATAAAATAATAAATCAAGTAATAAATGAAGGAATAAATAACATAATACCTAGGCTACCAAAGTGGCCCGGGTCCACTTGCCCGGCCGGGCCAAAAAGATATAAAAAAATAAAAATTATTCTATTTATTATTTTATTTATTTTAAATTTGGTAAAGAATTTCGATGTGACCCTGAGGCCAAAGTTGTTCAGTTTATTATTCTGCATAACATAGTTGTTTTTCGGAGTTTTTGGAGTTTTTTTTTTTTTTTTTTTGGCTGGGACCTTCCTTAGTCCTTGCACGGCCGGGCCGCCCGGGAAAATAGGGTGACCCGGGCAGCCCGGCTGGTAGCGTAGCATAATACGTAAAATAATAAATAAAGTTATAAATGAAGGAATAAATAAAGTAATAAATACACCATGGTTCTTCTTTGCACTTTATTGCAGTGATGGTCCTACTACTAGGTTTCTTAACTTTCCATTGAAATTCGAACGTCGTAACTGATTAGAGTTGGTTCGGCATGTGTAAACGGAAGTGATGCATTGAAAAAAAAAAAAAAAAAAAAAAAAAAAAAAAAAAAAAAAAAGAAGAAGAAATAGGGCGCACATTTCGTCAACTCTCTTTGTACAGCTACTACACACATTCGCACAGGAGGCGTAGGACTAACCCGCCTTCAGGAGGGCTACGACTACCCCCTCCCCTTCAGGAGGGTTAGGACTAACCCCCCCTTTCAGGAGAGTTAGGACTAACCGCCCCTCCGGAGGGCAAGGACCACCAGCCACAGGAGGCAAGGACCCCTCTCATTTTCAGACGGAACCTCTCATATGACTCAGATGGGCACACACTTCAGCCTCACCACAACACACCTCAATATTCAACAAACATAAAAAAAAAAAAAAAAAAAACCAGAAACGTCAGGGAGTGTGGAAACGAATCATAAGCAGGGTGACTCAGAATCTGATTGGAAATTATTCAAATTATTAAATTGATAAAAAATATATTCTCGCATGGATAATGTGAAAGGACATTCCCAGCTGTTTCCAGTGTTGGCCCAGGTATCGTAAGGTTTGTGATAAATTTTATTAATTTGTTATGATCCTGGCCAATTTCGAAGTACACATTCATCAGAAAGTACAATGCCGTCCAATTGCAAAAAGAAATGAATGAGAGAGAGGAAAAGAAGAAGACGAAGAAGAAAGAAAGAAAGAAAGAAGAAGAAATCATGTACACCAGCATAGACCAATGATAATGCTCTTCTTCTTTGCCAACCACTGGCTGAACCAGAATCAGTGTCCGAGTCCCTCTTCTACTGCAGGTATCACATGAGGTCCACCATAGCCATGGCCACCCTTCTCCTTCCTCTTCTCGAAGTCCTGGCTATGGCGGACTGCTAGGGCCTCGCCCTGATGTGCAGAAGACAACTCAAGCAGCTATGGCTGCTCTAGCTCAGGCCGCCATGCCTGACTCTGCCGCGAAGCTTCTTGGTGTAGCTCTACCCCCTGCTGGGGCCTTCTTGCTGCAGCGCCCACCAAGGTGATGAAGATGGCAACCACCATAGCCAGGTAAGTACCTCTGACGCTCCCCCTTCATAGTCCTGGTCTTCCTCCTCCTCCTCCTGTCCTTGCTTCTTCCCCAGCAGCGCAGCTCTGTGCTAGCGCTCTGCTCCAGCCAGCGCTCCAACCAGTGTGTCGCCAAACCTGCACACCGACAATGATGAGGAGCACCTTGCTCCTCCTGGAGATATAGAGGCCTGCTTGCCTCTTAGCGAGTGACTTCCTAGGCCGCGCGACCTCCAAGCAACCGGTACCTCCTCCTTTCGGACGGAAACATCATTGCAGACTCTGATATTGCCCGTACAGGCCCTAGACTCAGACTGGTTGGACCGGTACCGGCCTAGACCTAGCCTACAACGACTGGGCCTCTAAAAAATGCCAACTTTTGTCTTCTTCTGCTCGGCCTCGAGCACCCGGCACATCTACCTCTACTTGGTGTGGTACCGGCCCACCTGCTACTTGAGTGTTTTCCGCTGCTCTGAGTGGCGCGGGCCTCTTTCCCCGCCACTTGAGTGTTTTCCTTGCTGCAACCCTCAATGTCATGGCCACAGGTAAGTACCAGCCCTTCGGGCTTCCCCCGAACAACCAAGTGCCCTTGCGGGTCACACACGCACTCAAGCCGACAATCACTCAGTCAGGCATGCAGACCAGCAAGCACGCACCCACACAGATTGGGAACAAGTGGGAAAGCCAGTAAGGCATACATTCCATGAGCAAAACTCAGAAATCAGCTGTGTCTCAGTCCTTGTTTGGCAGGTCATTACAAATTTATTTATTGAATTTATTTTGAATAATTTATTTATTAAATTTATTTCTAGGCTACCAGCCGGGCCGCCTGGGTCACCCTATTTTCCCGGGTGGCCCGGCCGTGCAAGGACTAAGGAAGGTCCCAGACTCCCAGCCAAAAAGAAAAACACAAAGAAAACTCCAAAAACTCCGAAAAACAACTATGTTATGCAAACTGAACAACTTTTGCCTCAGGGTCATATCGAAATTCTTTACCAAATTTAAAATAAAGAAATAAATAAAAAAATAATTCTTATTTTTTTAATTTTGAATTTCTTTTTGGCCCGGCCGGGCAAGTGGACCCAGGCCACTCTGGTAGCCTAGATTTATTTTGAATAATTTCTTTTGAAAATTCATTAATTTATTTTGAATAATTTATCTTGAATAATTTATTAATTTGAATTTTGAAATCAGCTGTGTGTCTCAGTCCGTGTTTGGCAGGGCATTACAATTTTATGTATTAAAATTTAAAATTATTTTGAATAATTTATTAATTTCCCATTAGACTCTACTCTCACTGCTCTGTGTTATTTACTGTACCCCTCTGCTTCAATTCTTCCTTTGTGCAGGTATTAGTCACACTGATGAGGTAGCGACTTGGATGATTAAGCCATTTGTTGAGGTGAGAAATTTCAAAGTCGCTGAGCATTCGGTAGTCAAAAGGTTGATGATGCAAATGAGACAAATGGTGACACATATCTTGCAATTATTTGTACACAGAAATTACAGAGTTTCATCATTAATTAATAATTAATAATTATTAATTATGCGAAGTTGCAAACTCTGACAAGAGTCACGAGGGCAAGGGCAAAACATGCACACACACATGTGAGTACAGTCACATAGAGATGACAACAGCAAAGACCCGCGTAGCGGGATGTCATATTGGAAGTATTAACGTCATCATAACGTCCCATCCCTTCGCCACCACCATCGTTCCACTACCCCAGAAACCTCCATTCATTCCGCAAGATCAAAATAGGTGGCCGACTCCGCCGACTGACGAAACGTTGGTTGGGGGTGCCGGCCTTGGACAAGTCTGCTGTAAGAGAGTTGTAAACTAAACGTAGAACAATATATACACACCTACTGTAAAACTGCCGCACCAGGCTAGCTGTCAGTTGCCAGACCGGACCCCGTTTCCCTGCAAAAYTTCCCAGGACTTTCATAAACAGGCCTTACCGGAAAGCCCTTTCGGGYATAGGCCATTTTTAGCAGTATCACTTGTCCGGGAATTTTTCCCCGGATTGACGGGTTCCGGTCGATCCGTGTCAGCCATCCGGAAATTGCTGCTGCTTTCTGGGTCCGACTTGCCCAGGAACAGAAGTCCTTTCCAGCCCGAATACCCAGGTCCAAATTCAACTTTAAACCATGGTAACCGCGGACCCGGACACCGGACACTTCCGGACTGTCTTCCGGACCAGTGTCTGGACCGGTCCGGACTGTCCGGTGATCCGGACATCACCGGACACCGGACATAACCGGACAGCGGACAGTCCGGACCGGTCCCCGGGGTGCAAACAATGTCCGGAAAGAAAGAAAGAAAGAAAGAAAGAAACACCGGGGGTGGGGGAGGGGTTGCGTGGGGGTGTTGGCAGGCACTTACCTGCTTTGCACTCTGTACTTCACACAGCAGAGCACATGTCTTGCAGCAAATCAACCACCACATTTAAYYAGCAGACATGCAGAGTTGCAAACAGTGCAAAGCAGGCACAAGACTAAAGAAACAGAGAATCTTTTTTTGAAAAAAGTATGATTAACTTTGGATTTAGTAACTTAAGTTCATAAGCTCATAAGTTCATATATAACTTTGGATTTAGTAACTTAAGTTCATAAGTTCATATATAACTTAAAAATTCGAGCTTCACAGTTCAATTCAGAACGTCAGAGTCTTAAGTTCATAACTTCATATATAACTTAAAAGTTCGAACTTCACAGTTCAATTCAGAACGTCAGAGTCTTAAGTTCATAACTTCATATATAACTTAAAAGTTCAAACTTTGCAGTTCAATTCAGAACGTCAGAGTCTTCAGACTGGCAGCACTGTCAGTGCTCTCTCTCTCTCTCTCTTACCCCCCCCAACGGGCAGCAGCAGCTGGCTCCACATCGAAAAGGCCGCTTTGAAATTGCTCGGGCCTGTGCGAAACCCGCCACCCCAAAAACCTGCAGTGTCTTGTGTCTGGACCTCTAGGCCCTGTCCGGTGGGGTGAAACGACATTGAAAAATCAACCCATTATTTTTCTAGGGGCGGYCAGGACCCGATAAACGTCCTGGGCCGCCCCAATTTTTTTTTTGATTTTTGCCCCAGAGGCCGCAATCCAGACATATTGTCCAGACACCGGACACCAGACACCAGACACCGGACTGTCTGGAACCCGGTCCGGACGTCCGGGCGGTTACCATGCTTCAAACAGTCCTCATTTCTTATCTTCTGAAAACAACCTAAGACTGGCTGTTGTTCTCGGACCTCCAAGTGACAGCCAAGAGACTCCCAAAACCCCGATCCATTGTCCGTACGCGTAAGGGACAAAGTTCGGGGGTAACAGTCCTCAAAACTTGATCTGATCTCGCAAGCAGTTAACAACGATGGGCCATCATTCTTCCTATACAAACAAAACAATGACACATCATCCATTAACCTAATACCAAAAACACGATTGCGCCTACTGCCCAGGGTATCCAGGAAGGTGGATTCCGCGTGTGCGCACATAATACAGGCTAGTGGTGGGCTCATACTACTTCCCATAGGTATACCCAAGGTCTGCAGGAGGAGTATACCAGAAACAGAAGTGAAGGTGTGCGCAAGATTGAAAATAACGAAGTTCCTTAAATCTGTAAAGGATATCCTACACCAACCAAGATCTGCGGCCCCATTGTATAAAGACGCTCCACGCCCCTTGGGGTTGACCCACACACTTCCCTACCTTTCTGTCCGTGCCACTCAAATAACCAATCCAAAGCTCTGATGATAGAGTTGTGCGGAAGTCGTGAGAACATATCCTTAATAGCATATGAAGCTCCCAGCAAACTCATATGCCCCGACGTTCAAACTGGCAGTTTATCTTATCCAAACGCCCCGCCAAATGACCGACAGATTTCAGATTGAAATGCAGCTTAGCGGGCAGCCCGTTCAGCAGGCAGTTCAGACCCTTAGCGACCTTTCGGCTGGCTGGGGCACATGGTTCACTAAACGTAGGGCAAATAGGGCGAAAACGCTCCAAGTCCTTATGTTTAGGGATCGTGTAACCCTTACCGATACTGCCTTTTGGGAGCCACTTACCGATTCGAGTAAGACCTAGGCTATGGTAGTCGAGCTTAGCTTGAGTCAAGATATGCATCTCCGTGTCTTCCTGTGCTACATACCCCGAACTTCGTACAAACAAATCCTGACACGCCTCATAGTACAATCTGGGGCACATTACCACGGTTTCACCCGGGTTGCGATTGACGGGGGTCAAAAGTTCAAAACCAACTCCCTAAACATAGTCTTAACACGATAAAACCGCATCGACCGAAACGTAGTCGGAGTACCTACGCGAGACATTAAAACAAGTTTCCAGATCGGAGTGGGAAAATTTCACAGAAATGTGACCACCAAAACTCCAGTTCTTACATGCATCCTCCAGTTCTCTACCCAGCATCTCAACTCTCCGTGGGGCAGAGGCTTGAGGAACGTTGCAGGCATTGTGGATGAAAGGGGGAATTCGCAAGTCTTCCCAAATTCGAAAACGCACATGCCCGTGGAAGCGAGGAAGCGAAAGGTTTGCGCAGGTGCAAACTGCAACATCTCGGTGTGCATAGAGCCGATGATTGTGCAACAGATTAGCAACGGAGGGATTCTGAGTCCGCACCGTTCTAATTTTACACTTCAGGGGCCCCCGGACACATTCAGGAATTGACAGCTCATCAATTTTTTCATCCAATAGCCTACGCACACCCCTCAAACTAATACGATCATCGAACTGTATCTTAACCACCAACTTCTTCTGCAACTCAAACCCGTAACCCGTCTTGATAGCGGAATTAATAATGCGCCGAAGTAGAGACCTCGTACTCTTACGTCTGAAATCCTGGATAACAGGAAAAAGGCCCACAAGAAATTTCAAATCACACCGGGCAGCTGCAGGCCGCTTTCTCCGAAATTTTAACAAAGAGATCAGATATCATTTACCCTTTGCATTACTCTGCCGCCACTTACGAAGGTGCACAACGAAAACATCAGTCCCATCTTCTAAGATCCTCTTGCATTCCCGTAAAAGGCATGTCTTCCCATCTGCGCGAACAATAGAATCCCCAAACCATCGCTTAACTCTCTTCCATCCCTCGACCCAAGCATTGCCTCCCTTAGAGGTCAACGTAAACCCTTCCTTATGGAATTTCTCTTGTTCCAAAAGAAGCCCAGTCAACTTCGTACTAGCCTTTTCATGATTAACACCAAATCTAATGCATCGGATCTCATCAGTAGCCGACTTTACGGCTGGCTTGCTAGTATTCCTCCTTTGCTCATGCTTCCCTCTTCGTTGTCGCCGAGAGTGGGTCATACGTCGACCCGAGGTGTTCAAGACAGGCGACCAGTGTCTAATATAGAAATTCTCTATTGCGACAAGATCTTCCGGACTACCGCTAGCCAAGGGCAACAAGACGTAGCTTTCCCTCCCATAGGTCCGTAGCCAGCGGTGGAAGTGTGTTCCCCCTCCCTCACGCATACATTTCCCGTAATGTTCGACCCACCTCACATCTAGCTCCCACTCCATCTTCCCAATATACACAGCCTTACAGTAAGGTGAGATAGCCACGTAAACACAACACTTAATCTCGTCGAATCCCTCCAGATACTTTAGACACCACTTCTTCCAATCATCAACAAATTTCGCAGCCCACGGAATACTACCCTGGACAGCCAAGGATAACAAGACCCAACGATAGCTAGACTCGATTGCACGGTCAACGCGGGACAATTGTTTCCGTTTACGAATCAGGTCATGACAAATTTCCCACAATTGTTCAGTCGACCAGGTGCTTCAGGTTTCACCATCGCTCTCTTCTTCGGAGACTTCCGAGGATGAGGACACCTCGATACTGCTAAGTGTTTCAGCCGGTACAATCCGAGTCTTACCTTTACCGAAGTTCTTGGCTGCTCGCTGCTCGGTGATGGCCGCAATGGCTTGGCTCTTGCGCACATACGTTACACCTTCCTGCCTGCTGATCGCCTTGATCTCTTTGTAATCCAAGGTATCGAGTTGCTCCATGGTATCCTTTACATAACGCTCCCGGGCTTCGGGTCCATCGCTGGGAAGGATCTCTTGGTTAAGGTTACGAGGCCTGACACCAGTGGCGGACATCCTCGTTTGCCACGTGTGGCGTACATCCTCCGAGCTGTCCGTGTGAGTGGTGCCATGGTGCAGCCGGGGTCCCGTCCTCGGAGGTGTCGGTATCCAGGTCTAGGTTCTCCGTTCCCGTATTGATGGACTCCAAATCCTCGTCAATATCCAAGTCACTGGCAGGTTGTTGACTCAACTTCCGTTTCATGGCCACCGATCGCCTTCTCCGGTCGCGCCGGTGCTCCCTCCCTTTCTCTTGTCGAATACCACCCCATCTTCGTGACATCTGCATATCTATGAT